ACTATTCAAGGTAGCATATAATGCCCTGAGGTTCCAGTTTATCATTCCAGATAAATACAGTCCTACTTCCCTCACAATAACTTACACTCCAGTCAAAACAGAAAGTGTGACTACAGGGGATAACCTGAACACATCCTGAAGTTTCCTCCATTCGTGGCTTTGTTCATCTACTAAGTGTGCTCTTGTACAGGACCAGCAGTCAAAATCCTACTCATCCGTCAACACCTGGCTTAAATACTATTTCCTCCTTGAAACACATTCAACCTGGCTAAATATTATCTTTTTTCCCTGGGGCTCCCAAAGTACTTTGTTTCTCCTTTTCACTCGGACACTCAATTAAAAGTAGGTTTGGCAGAAGAACTAGATGGTGCCTGGCTACCACCAATGACCACCCTGACAGGGAACACAACAGCGTCCCTGACGGAGCAGGAGAAAAGTAGGGTGCAGAACTCAAATTCTGGTAAAAAGACCAGACTTAAAGGCTTGACTGAGACTGGAGGGACCCCAGAAGACATGGCCCCCGGATTCTCTGTTAGCCTAAAACTAAAACCATTCCTGAGGCCAACTCATCAGACAAAGATTAGTCTGGACTATGGGACATAAAATGATACTCACGAAAAGTGTGCCTCTTAGCTCAAGTAGATACATGAGACTAAATGGGCAGCTCCTGTCCAGAGGCGAGATGAGAAGGAAGAGAGGGTCAGGAGCTGGTTGAATGGACACGGGAAATCGGGGTGGAAAGGAGGAGAGCAACTAGGGTCACATAACAATGTATATATAAATTTTTGTATGAGAGACTAACTTGAATTGTAAACTTTCACTTAAAGCACAACAATTAAAAAAAAAGTAGGTTTGGGCCCCTATGCAAGGTGTTGAGCTTTATCTGGGCAATAAGGATAGATGTCTCAGACTCAGATAATTAGGGAATAGAGGTCAAAAGCTGTCAGCTTTTTAGGGAATGATCAACAAGATGAATCTGATCAATAAGCCCTGAACAGAATGGAAGGATGAAATCTTTGCTGCAAGCATACCGGTCATCAAAAGGTGGGTGAAGGCATGTGTAGTAGATTCAGTTTGGAGTTCTCCTGACTCATGTTTCTAAACTGCCTTTAGTCTGTTTGTCAGCTGTGGCTGTTTGTGAAGCAAATGCTTTCCAGATGGAAAACTTGACCGAGCAGAAAACAAGAACTTGTGCCACATACATAGTGAGGAGTTGTTTCATTCTTAAAGGCACCCCTGCCCTTGAATTCTAGAGGTGTGTGAATAAAATCTGAATTTCTGTGTCCAGAATTTAGATATCCCCCCTTTGAGTGTGCTTAAGTGGATGAAACTATGGATACTGCTTTCGGTTGAGAGGCCACAGTAATCAGGCAAATGTTAGGATACAGTGATGGCTGAAGCAAATCTTTCAAGGGTTTTGCTCAGGATAAAATAAAAATGACTAGAAAGCTAGACCAGAATTATGACTAAATTGGGATTTAAGGCAGAGACCAAAGGATTCACAGATAACAAAACAAAACCAGATTACTGACACATCAACCTCCCAAATACAAGTAACATAGTTCTCTTAGGCCTTCAACGCATTAGCTATTATTAAAGAGACAGGCACAATTTTACAGACAAACTGAGTTGCCTGGTACGGGTCAGCAAATCATAAAAGCTAAAGGCATAAAAGATTTAACACAAATTAATCGATTAAAAAACTGACAAACCCTAAATTGCGTCTATACTTGAATAAATTTTCCAATTAACCTTGGGAAAGCTATTCAATTTTTCAGTAGATGTCGCTATTGGGAAAATATTATTATTATTCAACTCTATTCAACGGGCACTACAGATTTTCCAGGGTGCTTTTAAAACAAAATATTCAAGCTATACAGCTTGCTGTTCAAACTCGGAACCTGGGGTCTTTCATAGTCCTTCTCTTGTTGTTGTTAGTTGCAGTTGAGTCTATTCTGACTCATAGTGACCATGTGTGGAGTAGAACTGTGCTCCATATGGTTTTCAAGACCTTTTGGAAGCAGATTGCCAGTACTTTCTTCCGAGGTTCTTCTGGGTGGTTTCAAACAGCCAACCTTTCAGCTAGTAGTTGAGCACTTAACCATATGTACCACCCAGGGACTCTAGTCCTTCCCAAGGTATTTTAAATAGTCAAATGCATAGTATGCATACTGTCATGGACTGAATTGTGTCCTCCAAAAATGTGTCAACTTGGCTAGGCTATGATTCCCAACATTGTATAATTGTTCTCCATTTCTGTGATCTGATGTAATTGTCCCCCATTTTGTGGTAACGTGTAATTATCCTCCAATTTATGTGTTGTAAATCCTAAACAGAATTAGCATAGGGTACATCTTGAGTAACACCCTTACTAAAGGGTGTGACTCAAGTCACCACCTTACTCAAGATACACCCTTACTTGAGTCACATCTTTTACCTTACAAAGGAGCAGACAAGGGAGCGACCTCACTACCACCAAGAAAGAACCAGAAGTGGAGCACATCCTTTGGACCCAGGGTCCCTGAGCTGAGAACCCCCTATACCCAGGAGAAGATTGATGCCGAGACACACAGAGATCTCCAAGGACCGCCCGGCCCACAGGTGTTGAAAGGAGACAAGGACCTTCCCTAGAGCCGACAGACAGAGAAAGCCTTCCCCTAAAGCTGGCACCCTGAACTCAAACTTCTAGCCTCCTAAACTGTGAGAGAATAAACTTCTATTTGTTAAAGCCATTCACTTGTGGTATTTCTGTTATAGCAGGACTAGATAACTAAGACATATACCTTTTCTGTATTTAAAACCAGGGCATGTACATTAAAAAATGAGGGTATGGCAAGCATGCCAACGATAATAGTTTAACTCTGCCAAATGTCTTAGATCTAATACAGGCAAAGGGACTATATAAATGCACATTAATCAATTCTATTAACACCTGGAATTCTCAGAAAGGATCTCAAAACCCTATTCATCAACAATCTGAATGGCCTTCTATGTCCCAGACACGGGGTGAACAAGAGGGCCAGCACCATTTTATGGGAACCCATAAACTAGCCATTAGCATTTTACTCCAAAATTCTTCAGAGATAACCCACCACTAAGTGAAAATACATCAAATACAATGCAAAATCTCCTATACTACCACAGAGAGTATATGAAAAAGGGAAATTTTGCTGGATAAACTAGCGCAAAATGATAAAAATGCATCTAGCGTCTTTTTAAAAAAAACTTTCCCAGTCCCTAAGATGGGCATGAGAAGATATGATTGCTTCCTTTCTTTAGCCGTACAGTTAGAAAATTGTAGGTATTCAGTATTAAAAAAAATCAGTAGAAGGCTAGGGTACCCTTACTTGTTCTCTTTAATCAAGAAGCTAGAAGCACCGAGCTTCACACTACTTACATTTTTAATGAAAACCAATTTAGACTACAGCAACCAACGAAGAAAAATGTCACCACAGGGAAAAATGGAAATGACTAAAGATCCTCCACTACCCTGAAGCTTCATTAAGATGTGACCAATTCCAATTCAGGTGCCCTTCAATCATACTACTTTCCATATAAATGCCTATAAGGGAAAATACATGCACTAATTTCCCAATTGTATTCATGTTATCTATTCCAAAACCTTGGACCTTTCAGAACTATCCCAAACTGCTGACAGCATTTTTCATATAATTAAGAAAGCTATTTTATCCCTAGATGGTGGTTCGAGAATGAATGATTATTTTTGTAAACTCTACCTCAATTTAATTAAACCATTAAATGTATGCATATAACACAAACACACCAACAGCCCTCAGCTAAAGCTTAGTACTTAGCTTTCTTTCCAGTGCTTTTGAAAAAGGGGTAGAGTACCGCCCACTTTGTATTCATATTTTGTTCCAAAAGGGCTGACTAAAAAACATTAGAGGCCCCCCAACACAAAAAGAATAGTATCTCATATACTTTTCTTCTGTCTCCAGATTTCCCACACCAACTCACCACCTCTCCCATTACTTGAGTCCATTCCTTAACTTTTAATTCTTCTACAAATTTCTACAATTTCACCACCCCCTGTGAGATCAGCAACAATCCCAGATAAAAATTTATGGAACTGTGGATCAAAGCAAGAGCTGCACTTAGGCTGTTTTGTTTTGAATTTCCTAAAGAAATCATGGAGTGAAGATAGAAGACAACCTGGAAAAGTGAAGAAAGCGTGTTCTATCCACTCTTCACACATTATTCTTACAGTCTCCCCGCTGTAAGGACCCATCAGCAAGCAAGGGCGACCAGCTTTCCCCTTCCACCCCTCACAGAAATACTCTCGCGGCCTTCGCTCCACTTATCCTAACAGCTCCTCCCCTTCTAGAGCCAGGACAGGCAGACAACAATTCCTCCTAGATCCACCCCCCATTTACTCAACAGTTACTTCCCAACCCCTGCTTACACCTACACCACCAGATCTCCTCTCCCTGTAGCACACCTTGGGCTGCCCAGCGTCCCGTTCAAGTCTACTCAAAGTTACTTCTCCCTAGCCCGCCGGACCCAATTTCCTCAGGTTACAGCTCTAAATCTAAGGTCTCGCAGTCGTCAGCCTCTCCCCACGCGTACCCAAGCAGCAAAGGTGCCCAACCTGTCCCCTTCCCAATTTCCTAAAGTGTTTCCTCTCCAGCCCAATCGCACAGCCGCCCAGCCAACTCAAGCAGCATTGTATCGTATATCCAGCCCTCGAAGAGCGACCTCCAAATGCTCGGCCCACCCCAAATCTCTTCAATCTCTTCCTCAGGATTCGCCGCCCCGCCCTCTCCATCCTTCAAGCGACCGGCGCCCGATCCTCTGCGGCGGCCGGAGAACTCCGCGCGGGAAGTGGAAGGGAAGGGCGAGGGGATCCGAAAGGGGTCCGAGGCGCTCCCCGCCCCCAATTGCCGCCGCCTGCGCGCGGCCCCTCACCCGGGGCTCCCGCCGCCGCGCGCTCCACGCCCCCCGCCCCCCCCCCAGTTCCCCGCCTCTAGCGGGCTTTTCACCTCAGAGCAGCGCCCAAGAGCCCGAGGGGAATCGGTGCCGCGCTACTGGCGCGTCGAGTCGGGCCGGCGGGAGGAGTGACGCCCACAAAAGCAACAAGCCGAGTGGCCGCGGTCGAGCTCCTCACTGAAGCGGCGTACAACAGGCCCCAGCCAACGGCCTTCCCCCTCTGCGAACAAAAGAGCCTCACACTCCGCGCTGCCCGCCCCCTTCACTGCGCAGGCCCGACGACCCGTCGCACAGCATCATGGGGCTCAGAGTCCGTCCGAGACTACAAGGCCCGAAGTGCTCCGCGCGTTCTACGCCACCACGCACAGCATGCGAAGGCATCGGGGAAATCCTCAGTAGCCTAGAGGACCTCTGGTGGCGCAGTGGCTAGGCGTTTGGTTGCTAACTGAAAAGCTGGTTAGTTCGAACCCGGTGAGAGGACGATGGAATGATATAGCAGTCTCTTTCCATAAAGATTACAGCCTTGGAAACTCTATGAGGCAGCTCTACTCTGCCCTGTAGGGTAACTAAGAGTCAGAATTCATTTGATGGCAGTGGGTTTGGTTGGGGTCAGTAGTTTCGAACGTTGCAAACTAGAAATTCTGAACATGTAATTCATTTCCTTGACTCATTTGACTCTTAATAGGTTCTTCACCAGAATTTTTTCAAATCTCCAGCGCTCTCCTTAGCGTTGAGATTACTTCCTCTCGGAGGCTTTCCTTGATCTTCCAGAGTAGGTTAGGTCCCCCGGGAGGTGTCATCAAGGCATCCTGGACTTACCCCTTTTCACTGACTATGCCGAGGAGCACCCCTCACCCAGCTACCCCAAAGAAACATAGAATTAAGCAAACCATGCTTGTTATTTTTCGAGATGTATTCTCTAGTTCTCCTAATTTAAACTAGATTGCTGTCCCCAAACCTGTTCAAATAGAAATTCCATTTCCCATCATACCATTCACCCCACTTTATGTCGTTAGTTAATATCTGTCTTCCCTCCTGGACTCCAGGCTCTGGTGAGAACAGAAACCTTGCCTTGAGTTGTTCACTACTATATACGCAGTGGCCAGTACAGTCCCTGGCAGAGAATAGTCAGTCAATATTTGTTGAATAAATGATTAAATGAATGAATGACACATTCTCCTGGTACCTGACAGAAAACAGAGGTGATCAAGCTTTCCTTCATCTCTTCAGATTTATGTTTTGTTTTGTTTTTTCTCTCCCTTACTCTCCCTTTCTCTATCCAGTCAGGAACTATACAGACAGAACGTCTAAAGGTGACATTCTTTTTTCTTACTTTAATCTTCACCAGAGGGAAAGGGGGAAATTAACTAAGTCTAGTGCACTTTACTCTAGAATGTAGAGGTCTGCATTTATAGAAGTTATGCTGCGCTAGGCACTGTGCAGGTCTCTGGAGAGTTGCCATGTAAGAAACCCAGCCCAGAAATATCATAATAGAGATTTGCTAAAAGGCTGTGGGAACGCAGATAAGAGGGCAGTTCTTCCTGAGACATTTGAGTTGTGTCTCCAGTGTTGGGTCTCTAAACACTAAGGCAGAAACTTCAGGCTTGAAAGTTTGACATCCATCCCTGGCAGAATTCCACAACAGATAATTAACGAGAGCTTTTAGTTGATTGCAGATTAGCATAAACCAGTGGTGCCTCGCCACCAGAAAAGGAGAAGGTAATATTTGGCAGCCTTAATTCAAGAAGGGCATAGAGCAGTGATGGCTCTCTACTTAGAAACATGCACATAAGAGCCTAAAGTTTCTGCATTAACAATATTCATTTTCAAAATCTGTTGGTATTAAATAGGTTTAGTTCTTCTCTCTTCCCATAAGAATGGTGACATTTTAAGTTACTCAGACCCTCAGATCTTCTGTTTTTAAGAGAAACAGCAACTCAGTCATAGTAATGTTGCTCAAGACCACATTTGAAATGGCATTGCTTATGTCCACAGGAAATGCTTCTGTCACATCGTTTCTAAAATGCTAACCAAAAAGTCGGCAGTTCATACCCACCAGGCGCTCCTTGGAAACCCTATGGGGCAGTTCTCCTCTGTCCTATAGCGTCGCTATCAGTCGGAATCGACTCGATGGCAATGGGTTTTGTGTTTGTTTGTTTGTTTGTTTTTTTGGTGAGGAAGGGAAGAAGTGTAATGTTCCAAAAAGAACAAAGGCTTAGCAAGCAGGCCGAACTGTATTAGATTCTGTCTCTACTATTCGTATGCTGTATAACCAAAACCAAAAACCAAACCTATTGCTGTCAAGTAGAACTGCCCCATAGGGTTTCCAAGGAGCAGCTGGTGGATTTATATTGTTGACCTTTTGGTTAGCAGCCGAGCTCTTAACCACTGCATCACCACCAGGGCCCCTCTATAACCTTAGACAAACTGCATTACTCTCTGAGTCTCAGCCTCCATGAAAATCTATAACATGAAAATAATATCTAAAACCTGCCTTGCACCATTGTTGTGGGATTAATGGTAATGTTGTATAAAACGAATGACATAGAGCCAACATTCGGTAAACATAATGTATTTCAGGTACAGTAGATAGCAGCTTGTGAGATGTGATTTAAAGAGCGGGGGAAGTATGAAAACAAAAAACCAAACCCTTTGCCATCCAGTCGATTCCGACTCACAGCAACCCTATAGGACAGAGTAGAACTGCCCATAGGGTTTCCAAGGCTGTAATCTTTACAGGAGCAGATTGCCATATCTTTCTCCCGCAGAACTGCTGGTGGGTTTGAACTATCGACCTTTCGGTTAGCAGCCCAATGCTTAACAACTGTGCCACCAGGGCTCCTCCAGGGGAAGTGTAGAACTCATAAAATATTTTCCTCCATACTGTCTGGAATTCTTTGTTTTCATTTTGACCTGCTACTTGAAATTCTACTGTTAAAGATTTATTCATTTGGGGTTAACAATCACCCTCTTTTAAAAGGCAAAAATACCTCAGAGCTATCAGTCTGTCTTACTGCCCTAGGTCAGTCTGATTCTCAAGTTACTTCCTGGTAGTAACTGGATTCTAACTACAATGTACAGAGTCTCTGGGTTTAAGTGCTCAACTGCTAACCAGAAAGTTGGAGGTTCCAATCCATCCAGAGGTGCCTTGGAAGAAAGGCCTAGTGATCTGCTTCTGGAAGGTCACAGCCTTGAAAATCCTATGAAATGCAGTGGTAATCTGCACACGTGGGGTTGCCATGAGTCGGAATCGACTGGATGGCAACTGGAAAGAAAGAATTAAAATGAACACTTCTCGAATCATCCACCACAACCTTTAATATTGATTGGTTCTGTTCTGAGAAGGGATCACTCATTACAGGAGAGGTACTTATTATCAAGTGTTAGAAATCACTGTTGTAAAAATAAGCTAGAGATAGAGCACCATCTGTTTGTGAAACCTACATTGCAAATTATTTAATGAGTTTATTTCAAAACATTTATTGAGCAATGCGCAAGGGGATGGTGCTAAGCCCTTATATTCTTTGGAATATAAGCTCTAGAAGGTCAGAGTATTTTTCTGTTTGGTTTACTGCTTTATTCTTGGTGCTCCAAATAGTACCTAGTCCATAGGAACGCAAACCAAACCCACTGCTGTGGAGTCAATTCTGAATCATAGCGACCCCACAGGGTTTCTAAGACTGTAAATCTTTACGGAAGCAGAATGCCACATCTTTCTCCTGCAGAGTGGCTGGTGGTTTCAAACCGCCGACCTTTCGGTTAGCAGTCGATAGCTTTAACCACTGCACCACCGGCGCTCCTTAGCCCATAGGAAGAGCTTAATAAATAATTTGTTGAATAAATACATTCTGCAGAGACATTCTCCTAAGCTGGCTCTCCAAATGTAGTCTACAGATTCCTGTGAGTTCCTGAGACAGTTTCAAGAGGTCGGCCAGATCAAAACTATTTTCATAACAATTAAGACATTATCTGTCTTTTTCACTATGTTGACATTTTCAGTGATGGTGCAAAAGCAATGCTGGGTAAAACTCACTGATGGTGCAAAAGCAATGAGGGGTAAAACACTGGCATCTTAGCGTGAATCAAGACAGAAGCACCAATGTGTACTACAGTCATTGTATTCTCTGTTGCCACACACATGCCATAAAAGAATTAAAAAGTCACTTTCACTTAAGAATGCCCTTGACGAAGCAGTAAGAATTATTAATCTTATGACATCTCTATCCTAGGGTCTTTTTAATGTTGTGTGTGATGAAATGGATGTATGCATAAAGCACTTCTGCTGCATAACAAAGTATGATGGTCGTAGGATTGTTTGAGATGTATGAGCTGAACTAGCTACTTTTTTCATAGAATACCATTTTTTACTTGAAAGAATGACAGAAAAACTATAATTATTCAGACTTGTGTATTTGAATGAAATGAACTTGAAATGACTGGAAGTAAGGAAAATGACTGGAAGTATTTATTGTCAATGATAAAATCTGAGCTTTCAAGCAAAAATGATAATTTTGGAAAATGTGGTATCCGCAGCAGTGAGCTTGACACCTTCCCAAGACTTTCCTGATAATAGATTTTTTTTAAATGTGATTTATTATATCAAATAGTGAAATGCAATAATTTTTGTAGGATCTGCATAATTCAGTGAACCAATATTTTCCAAATGATTTCAGATTCCCCATTGCAACTAACCTTTCCATTTGTTGAGTTTTGGTATAGTATCAAAGAGAAATATCTACAATTACCTGAGAAGGCTAAAAATTCTCCTTCCTTTTTCATTTATATATCTGTGTAAGGCAGAATTTTCTTCATATACTTCAAAAAAATATAACACAACAGAGTAAATGAGGAAGCAAATATGAGAATCCAGCTGTTTTCTATCCAGACAGACATTAAACAGATTTGCAAAATTGTAATACAATGCCAATCTACTCAAATTTTTTTGTTTTGGGAAATATATTTTATAAACTGTGTTAACATGTTATGCTTTATTATTATTGTCTTACATGAATTAATAAATTTTTTTTAAAATTCTTAATTTTAATTTCTAATTAAGATATATCCCACATAAACAAAATCTTTTTGGTGTCCTTAATAATTTTCTCAGGGTGTAAAGAGATCCTGGGACCAAAAAGTTTGAGAAACTCTGCTCTGAGGTATGTACAATTATCTCCACTTTATAGATGAGGAAACTGAGACAAAGATTTAGGACCAGTCCAAGGTCACACGGTCAGTGTAGCGTTGTGTACTGTACCCAGGTAGTCTAACTCCAGTGCTTTTATTTATGACCGTGACTTTTCCCTTGATATTATCTTTGCTAAAATTTATATTTAAAAATAGGTTGTTAAACGGCATTTTAACAACATCAAAAAAGTTTTCATCATATCTAATGAATTTTTCTTTCTCACTGTCTGCATGATCTTTCCTTGGGCTTGTTTCCACGAGCGAAATGCGTGAACTGCTGGGCCCTCGCAAATCCTATTTTCACTCTGACAATCTGTGGTTTTACGAATCTTAGTTGCACTCCCCCTTGACACCTCCGCTCGGGAACTGCAACCTACGGCGTTCAAACAGGTACTCTCTAGAGACCCAGTGAAGCTCCAGGAACGTGGGCGTTCTCTTCCCCGACTTCCCACGCTCAAGATTGCCCTAAGCCGAATGGAAACAACGGTCACAACCTCCTCACACCTCTCTACTCCCGGGACCCACTTTCACACCTGGCCTCTGACTGGCTGGACCTGAGAACGATGGGCGGGATGCGGCCTGGATTGGATGCGGAGCCCATTCTCCTGCCCGTCATCTAGTACCCCGTCCACCCTCCCGCGCTGGAAGTGAGACGCCAGGGATCTCGACTGCGGCCGGGGACTTGGGCGGGGCGGAACCGCACAGCCGGGAGCGAGAGTCGCCTCTGAGAGCCAAGGCCTGTAGGGGCGGGGCGTCTCGAACATCCAGGATTGGCGGGTCGCAGCCGACTCCCGTCGTGCACCGAGACACCGGCGACTCACCCGGAAGGAGAAGCCGCGATCCTGGCTATAAGGTAGGGTGTAGTCGGTGTCGCTGTGGGGAGTGGGTACTGCTCTCAGCTAAGTGGGTGCGGGCGAGTAACTTTTTCTCAGGTGAGGGGGCGCAGGTGGTGTCGCTTTGTGGAGCCGGTGATGCTCTCGGGTGAGGGGGCGTGAGCAGGGCCGCCAGGAGTCGATGCTGCTTCAGGTGAGGGGGCGCGGGCTTGAACGTCAGTTGTGGCACTTGGGGTGAGGGCTTCGCTTGACATCCTGGGGAAGGGGCTGTCACACTTCCGAGATGAAGGCGGGGGCTTGCTCGGAATCCAAGGAAGGAAACCCGGGTTTTCAATTTATTTTTAAAGTATAAGTTCTCTTTCCTTCCCTCTTTAGAAGCTTAATAGGAAAAGGAGAAGAAGGGACATGTGGCCCTTCTTGCTCCATGTTCGTTAAGAATGGAGAGGAAGTAGTCGGAGTAAAAGGGTTTGGGGACATTTACCCAAACGGTTAGGTCTAGGGGGTAATGGCAAGTATTTTACGGGACACAGGAGACTCCTGGACTAGACTGTGGCAGCCTTTGTGACTTACCTTTGAAGTGGAAGGAGGAGCAAGTATCGGTTCCATCCCAGTTTACTGATGGACAAGGGGAGCTGCTTGGTCAGACGAGGGAATGTCCTCTAGTACCTGTGGATATTTAAGAAGGAGAGAGTTTTGAATTGCCATTTACTATCTGGCACTAAAGGCTCAAGAATGAGTAAGAAGGGATGGGAGGCTGGGGAGCTCAATTTACTTTAACTACTTGATGTGTTTTTAACCCCTCTCTTGCAGTAGTTTAAATGCGAGAGAAAATAATGAGGCTTAAAGTCTTGAATTGCTACCTTGAATTGTTACTACGTTGGAAAGCTTTACAACTAATCTACTTTGTAAACCGCAAAAGACTGGGTTCTCCCCAGCTGGAAATGTTGGTGCTGGTACAGGTGGAGTAAGTACAGGAAACTTCAGGTGTGATTGAAAGGGCCCAGGAAATGTAGTTAGCACCGAGTGAGGTGGCAAGTAGCTGAAAGGGCCACTGACCCTGTTCTTATTTGGAGAACTCACAGATCCATCTCCCAGATCATAGAGCTGAAGTTAAGAGCTTCCTGCTTCCCCTCCAAGGGCGGAACTGAGCTTCATTTTCTCCTGAGAAGTGCTGTCTATGGGGAGGGAGCTGATGGAGAATTTGCTGGAAATTACTAGATTATTAGAAATTATTGGACAAAGTTTTTGTTTTGTTCCAGTGTTTTTAAGGAAAGTTACAATTGAAACTTCCTTATTTAAGTATTTACGTATATAGCATTTGGGGGGCCCTAGGATTTTTAAAAGCCAATTTATAGCTATTTGTTTCTAAGTAGTAAAATAGCCCCCAAAGAAAAGAGAGGAACTTCAGCATGGAGGTGCCCTTGGTGCAGGGCCCTAGGCAAACTCTTACTGAGCCCAAGAGAATGAGGTGACGATGACCATTTAGTTACTGAGTTATGGTCCTAAATTTGGTAAACCTTTCAATGCACAGGATATATACGAGCTCCCCTGAGTGTGTAGATGACTATGATTTGCTTGTCATCATCTTTCTTATGGTTACTTTCTTATAGTTACTTCAATTTGGAATATTTAACTCTCTCCTCCTGATTTTACCAAATGGCTGAAAAGAGAAGTAGGGAAAACAAAAATCTGAGGAGGTTAATTGTTCACAGCAGGTCTGCCTGTTTCACTGCCTACTCTTGGATATTATGCATCGGTTGTTATGGAATTAAGAGTTTCCTGCCTTTTAGTTCAAGACCCCTTTGAGGTGGTGGCTGCGTCAGATGAAAAATCAGATTGTCAATAAAAATGCTGTTTGAGATGGTATTGAAATCGCAAAACCTTGGGTTTGAGCGATAGTGTTGTCCAGTTTTGTCATATGGCATGCAGCTATGTCTCCGTGTGCAATGTCTGTCTGTGGAGAGATCCTCTGGTATATTGGAAAGAATTGGAAAAGCTGTTTGCTCTGCTAATTTTGTGGTGTAAATGAGTTCCTCTTCTCTTGAAACATTAGCCTTGTGTTAGCAAAACATAAAAGAGGGAAACTCATTACACACTCTTGTAATGGTAAGGCAGAACTAATAAGAGAATGTGTTTAAAATTAATTGTGGGACTGTAAAAATGAGTGGATGTGAGAATGGGGGTGGGGGGAGTAGAGGGAGAGCTTAGAGATAGTCTTGTTTCCCCAGGAGCCAGCCCGGATCATTTGTTGGCAGTACATATTGGCTGAAGTCAGTTTTCATTTCAAGGTAAATTGAAAAGGGAAATTAAACCTTATTGTTCTGCTCTTAAGAGAGGAGAAGTGGGTGGAGACAGCAGCCTGGGTATATGCTGTTGGAGTGGTTCTAGGAGTAACAAGATTAGTGCTGTATTTTAACAGAAGGTGACATCATGGGCCCCCTTGGACTTGAGTAACCCTGTGCTGCAGCCTTCACGGTCCCCTTGTTGGAGTGGGCGATGTCACTGCACATGTAAACTGCCACACTGGGGGAAATCAGGGGCTTAGGCTTTAATGAATCTTTACAAAGGAGCGGAAAGCATCCTGAGTCGACCTGTGCAGCTGTGGGGCACTTGAACAGAGGTGCAAATCAGATGGCATGTTGAGAGAGGAAAGGATTAGAACTATTAGCACAGGTTCCAGAGAGTGGATTAGATAAGGGAAGGTCGAAACTGGGCAACCCACTTGAGTGCTCCCCAGAGTGCGCAGCACTATGATTCACCTGTGGGGAGGTGACTGTGGTTAGCAAGATAGAGACTCAGGCACAGTAGTGTTTGTGGGGGCTTGGCTGTTTCTAAACAGCCGGGAGGGGGCGATGTTAGGCTCGATTTCAAAGCTCGGCTCCTAGTGCCCACCAGGCACTGCTGGTGCTTGCAGTTCGCAAGGCAGAAAGGTTTTAAACCTGCCTGTTCTGGCTGTTGGGACAAATACTGTGTGCAGACCCCAACATACTTTGGGTAGAGGTGGCCTAGTTGAGAGTCCTGGATCTGAGAAAGGAGGCAAATCCCCCAGGGCTTTTAGCTTAGCACTGAGCTAATGCGGGGAATTTTTTTTGCTTCCTCATAAGTTTTACACAAGAACAAAAAAAGTGGCCTGGGCTTCCCCAGAGGGTCTATTAAAAACTTTCTGGGTTTTGCCCTGGTAAAGAGTGATCAGAATTGAGGCATACTATACTAACCATGATTGTTCTTCATGTCCTTTGTCCGTGTTCAGATGTTTTTTTCCAATGGGCGTTTGGTGTAGGATGTTGGAGAACCAAGAGCAGGAGGTAAGAGTGTAGTCTCCAGCGAACAAGTGGGTAAAAGTTGGAGAGGGGATTTGGGATAAGGGAGGGCACAGAAATGTAAGTCACTGTTCACTAGTGCTCTTGCCACATTAATATTAATAATTTGTGGTTCTAATGTTGCTATGAATCGGAATTGACTTGATAGCAATAGGTTTGGTTTTGGTTTGGTTTCGTTCTAATGAGTTCAAACTAAAGCTTGTAGATGGAAATCAGTAGCAGAGGCATTGCTGGGAAATGAGGTTCCATTTTGACTAATTTTTCCATTGGGTAGAATATTCTAGAATGTAAGCTTTGTGAGGGGAGAGATTTTTGTCTCTTGTTCATGCTCTGTCCCCAGTGCCTAAAACAGTGCCTGACACATAGTGTGGGTGTGTAATAAATATTTGTTGAATTGAATGAATGAATGAAAGTAAGTTGGTACTGTCTGAATGGAAAAATCTGGTAACCTGTATTGTCAAAGTTACCTTACTATGTGACTGAGCCAAAGCTGAGGTAGCATTTCTTAACTACAGGAGGTGATCACCGTACGTGTTCAGGACCCCCGCGTGCAGAATGAGGGCTCTTGGAATTCTTATGTGGATTATAAGATATTCCTCCATGTAAGTACATCAAGTTTCTGTATTGGGGTCAACACCCTCCAGGGCTGAGGACTAGGGCCAAGGCAGAACGTGTTTGTGGGTGTGCCTGGTGGGCTAGAGATAGACAAATTAAAAGAAAAAGAGGGAGGAGAGGAAAGAGAGCTTGGGGTACGCCTGAGAGTTGCTTTTGGAGCTACCTGGTAGCACCTGCTCTAGTTTGAGCCCCTGATCAGGGAGGTACAGGACCATGGCCTGGCAGCTTGGACCCTCAGTGAGAGCAGTGATGGAGAGCTCATGTAAAGTTGGTCCTTTCTCACTAAACCGTTTTTTTTGTACTTCCTCCTAAAGACCAACAGCAAGGCCTTTACTGCTAAGACGTCCTGTGTGCGGCGCCGCTACCGAGAGTTTGTGTGGTTGAGAAAGCAGCTACAGAGAAACGCTGGTTTAGTGTGAGTTTGCCTCTTGCTTCCGTCTTAGATCTGAAGCTGGCATTTACTTGCTTAGGAAGTGGAATTTACAGTGAAGAAAATTTGCAACATATCAGGCACTAAGGAAATTGGAAAATGTGTTTTTAAATTATGTTTCCAAGTCAGTGGAAGAAGTAAAGATGAGTTCTCATTGCTAGTATTTTGACCGAATAGCCATAGAAACATCAAAAATATTTTTCCTTTTTTATATGCATGTTAGTCTAGAGCTAAACAAATGTACTGCTAGCATTTTAAATGTGCTTATTCCTGGATATTGGAGACGTTTAAGCACCTAAACTTAATTTGACAGGTGGTGTTCTTGTCCATTTGAAATGTAAAAATTGTGATTTTTCTTTTTTCTTTTTATTTGGTACAGTGCCCCTTCTCTAGGTGCATACCAGACTGAGAACCTTAAGAAAGACAGTATTACTCATTCTTCATCAACACCTCCCAAATAAGTCCTGAAAGTGGAGATAATTAGAACAATGACTCCACCTCAGGATGGTCACTGAATATTCAGTGGTGATGGATGGCCTGCTGAGTCACCTAGCCAGTTACTTAATGTGTAGGAGTTATGAGGCCAGTGTCATGGGTCAGGCCCTCATAAGCCAGTTGGAACTCCCTTAGTTTCTCCAACAGATCCTACATCCTCTAGCTTGGCCTGTTGTTTTGTAAAAATATGTGCTGCGCTTCATAAGAGAGGTGAGGAAGAGTTAAAGAGTTTGTGGATGACTTGCTGCAACTCAACTATTTTTAGAAAATTCCAAGTGTGTGGCCTTCTGGGACTGGAGAAGGTAGTATTAATTTACAAAGAAGGACCTAGAATTCTCCATGTACAAGTTTCTTTTTAAAATAATAGTTGATGGTAAGAGTGAGTTTTATAAACAATGTAGTGTAGCATGGGCTTTGGAATCATAGACTTGGTTCAGATACCAGCTTCTGCATACCAGCTGTGTGACACTGGGAAATTTTCTTAACCTCTCTGATCTTATTTCCTTACTATTAATGTCTTTCTCACAGGGTTGTTGAGAGGATTAAATGAAATAGTGTTTATAAAACATTTAGCACACTGCCTGACGTATGGCAGGCAGTCCATAAATGTTACCATTCCCGCCTTATTAAAAGCTAATTGTGTTGATTTGGGCCTCTTCTCAGGGGATTTCCTTGATCAGGGCTGGAATGACTGTCTTGGATGTTATACTTATCTTGGTGTTCCCACAGGCCTGTACCCGAACTTCCTGGGAAGTCAACCTTCTTTGGCAGCTCAGATGAGTTCATCGAGAAGCGACGACAAGGTCTGCAGCACTTCCTTGAAAAGTGAGTGGACATGATGGGCCAGCATTGGCAGCATGGGAGGGTGCCAGGCAGGATGGGCCCCTTCACACATATAGGCATGTTTGTGGTAGACGCCTTTCTTGCACCCTCACACCTTCAGTGCTCACTCAAACCAGAAGCGTCTCAGAGGATGGGGTGGAGAGCAACTCCTCAGGGTGATACTCTGTGTTGTGCAACCTGTGTTTGCCCTAGGGTCCTGCAGAGTGTGGTCCTCCTGTCAGACAGCCAGTTGCACCTCTTCCTGCAAAGCCAGCTCTCAGTGCCTGAGATAGAAGCTTGTGTGCAGGGCCGAAGCCCCATGACCGTTTCTGATGCCATTCTTCACTATGCTATGTCAAACTGTGGCTGGGTCCAGGAAGAGAGGCAGGGCTCTTCTCACCTGGCTAAAGGAGACCAGCCTAAGAGGTAACTGAAGCTGTCTTTTTGAGACAGTAGGGGCTAGGATTACTGTAACCTCGGCCAGTAGGGCATCCATTTGATGGGGAAAGTGATGTCCCAGAGTTGGTGGCCTTTCAGAAGAGGCCTCATTCCCCATGTGCATGGTTCTTTCATCCCAAGTGGGTCTGTGTTAATCCACCACTGTAGCAGGGATTCCTATTGAAACCTGGGAAAAGAAAGGGGAAGGCTTTCTTTATTCCTTTTCCCCCTTCTGCCTCCTTTTTTTTTTCTTTTTTTTTTTAAAAAAAAAAGCTGTATTAAGCTATAATTCACATACTATAAAATTCACCCTTTTAAAGTGTACAACTCATTCGTTTTTAGTATATTCACAGAGTCGTACAACCATTACTCATACCAATCTATTTTAGAACATTTTTATCACCCCGAAAGATACCTGTACCCATTAGCAGTGACTCCCATTCCCCTCAATCCCCTGGCCACTGCTAATCTACTTTCTGTCTCTGGATTTGCCTTTTCTGGACATTTCATATAAATGAAATCATATGATAATGTGGTCTTTTGTGACTGGCTTCTTTCACTTAGCATAATGTTTTCAAGATTCATCCATGTTGTAGCATGTTTATCTATACTTCATTCCTTTTTATGACCAAGTATGTAATATTCCATTGTGTGGATACACCACCTTAAATGTTTATTCATTTTTGCTTATCCATTCATGCCCTTCCTTTTCCCTTCCCACTCTTTTCCAGTTGCTGCTTTCTTCCACGATCTGGTAGGAGGAACTCTCCCTCACCACCTCCCAGTGAAGAAAAGGACCACTTAGAAGTATGGGCTCCTGTTGTTGACTTTGAGGCACCTTCCTTGGAGAGTCCCACTCTCCCAGCCCTCTCCTCACCGTCACACTGTGATTTTGCAAGACCTGATGAGGGAACCTCTGCTGGTCAGCCTGCAAGGAGGGTCATGGGAGGGGACCAGTTAGCCTCCCTGTCTCATGCTGTGCCTTTGGACCCTGGTCAGTTAGAAACAGTCTTGGAAAAGTGAGCTCTGAGTTCTGCTTTGAGGAGGATGGAGAACGTGCAGGCAAGGAGACTTGCACGGGTGGGGTTGGGCACAGGCTTGTCTGGGGAAGGTTGGGCTGCTTAGTCCCTTATAGTTGCCTCTGCTTGGGCTGGTTGCACAGAAGTCTGTCCTGACAGCTCCTTGCGATTCTTCCATAGGAATAAACACTGTGCAGCAGATGTTTGTAGGTTAAGCCTAAGGCCCAGGGGCTGTTGATTTTAAACAGAACCCCATATTTACTGTCCTGGGAACTGCGTTTCTTCAGGTATGTGTTTGTTCTTCAGAAGCACTGCCTCAGGTGACTGGTTTTAGGGACCTGTAAGGGGCAGATGCTAAGCTGCCACACTGAGTATCGTTCCAACGGGAATGCGTATGTAGTTGAATTCCCATCTTAGCTGGGTTCTGTTCTTGCTGCAACCCCTAGAGCACTTTGTTCCTGGGAGGCTGACCTCTTGCCTACCTCCTTGCACGGACAGGATGGTGAATAGTTACTCTTCCCGCCTCCTTGCTTTTTTCCACTAATACCACTGAATGGAACAGGTGCTGTGACTCCTGTAGCTGGTGTTTCCAGCCTGTCCCAAGACCTCAGCCTGGCTTGGGCCTGGGACCCACTTAACAGCGTATGGCCGTCCATGAAGGAAAGGTGGTTGGTCATAGTCAGAGGGGAAAGGTGACTGCTGCACTGGGCCCAGAAGGCTTTGTTTAGGAAAAAGCCACTCTGGGCTGTCAGTGTCACTTCTGATTATACAGTAGAGACGTGGCTATCTTTTCTGCAGGGTTAGAGTGGGCTTCTTTCTTTTTTGGAATCCTTTCTTTTCCCTTAGTAATAGCTCCCTGCCCCCAGGGTTTCAGCCACCATAGTGTCCCTCTGCTGTGTTGCAGGGAGGCCGTATGTTCAGTCCAGTGGGGCACAAGGGCTTTGTTTTGCCTATATGAGTGGGCTCTGGGGATGGAGATGAGGAACAACATGCCTTCCTTCAGACAATGAGGCATTCTGCCCTCCTGCTGCCATAATTCCTCTCCACTGAGAGCCAGAGCTGGTAGGAGAGCAGTGCTGCTGGCATTCCACATTGCTCCGCACGGAGGTTCCTGTGTGTGTGGTTCTTCCCCCTCTTGCCCACTCCCCCTTCCTCTGGCCATCCTACCCTGTCTGTAGGCCCTTTTACCGGCTATGCTGCGGGACTGTCATGGCATTTAGTTCAGAGTTGAGGGGCTTTGGCCTGAAATAAAATTCAAGTATTTAAGATTGTTGTTGCAATTTGTGTCTAACAAGCTGTAGCGGAGAAGGAGGGAGTGAGGGCTGGCAGTCATTACTTTCATAAATCATGAATTTATCAGCATGGAAATAATGGTTCAGATCTGCGCACTGCAGCACTCCTGCACTGGGTGTACAGCTCAAGTTCATCACCAGGAAAAAGGGGTTGACTTCCAAAGAGTCAGCATCCAGCTCTTCTCACAGTTTTGGCCATGAACCTTGTTTAGGTATAATTTACCTGATGCTGCTTCCATCCTCACAGCCTGCCTGGGATGCCAGGTGCTGAAAGAGAAATAAAGTTTATCAACAGGCAGATGCAAAGTCCTGGCTGGTACTCATCCCTCTTCCCTGCCCACCCACCCTGTGCCTCTCCTTTATATGATGCAGCAGAGCAAGGCGAGGATCAAAAACCTACAGAGGCAAATCCAAAATGTCAAAAGAAGTTCATTTAAAAGGGGAAAAAAACTCCATACACAACCCTCACAAAAACTCGACAGATGCTAAGCTAATGGCATCCGCTCTGCTGATTGGTGGGGATGGTTCATGAATATTAATGAGTCCAATGCTCCAAATGGTGCAGCTGTGAACCCAGCTGTGCCTGAAGCTCTCTGATCTCGAAACTTCCAGACAGGAGCCGGGGGTGGTCTGTGTCAATTCCCTACTCAGCCAAAAAACAGCAAGCTGGGTTGGCCTTCTTCTGTTCTCTCCTTTTCTTCCTAGAGTTGGTGCTCAGCAGCTCGTTCTGCCAGCAGGGTAGGCTGCCGGGACAGCAGGAGCCATTCAAAGACATGGACGTGATTTTTCTGACTCTCGGCTTTTTTAATGATCCATTAGCAGCAATGCATACAGCAGCACCTCAGTTAATCTAAGGCCAGGCACCATCCCCTTGTGGTCTTGAGCTGAGTTGCATGTCGGCCATGGAAGGGGAAGAGTTTCTACTACAGGCCTGGGCTATGAGAAAAACAGCAAAGATATGTCTTCCCCTGTGTAGGCAGTGCCGTTTGCTCTCTCACGGTTTGCTCTGTCCCTGTGCACTTGGGCCAGCCACCGTGGCTGATGACCTGTATGTGGAGAATGGGGAGCTGTGGGGAATGACCTGCTGAGGTACTTCTTAGAAGGGAAGTATTGTTTTGAATTTTGGTTTCAGGCAGGTTATGTGCCTGAGTCACCTTCTGACAGCTATTTCTATGGCCCAACTCTAGTTACCTAGGATCAGTGGCTTTGGCTTGGTGGGAGGAAGTATGTGTGTGGGGGATGTGTGGAGGATGAGTTTTCTTAGGTGAAAGTAATAAGTTTCATATCATACTTTTATTTGATCTTTATAGCCCCCAGTGAGGAAGGGAGGGCAGCAATTATGCTCATTTTCTAGTTGAGGAAACTGAGTTGAGTTTGGTTTTTAAAAAGCACATTTGTAGATGGCTGTTGAGTATATTCATGTGAGAGACATTTTCTAAGCTCTGTAAGACAAGTTTTTTTATATATATATTTAAAAAAA